CCGTGTAGGTGTGTCGTAGGGATTCCATAAACTGGAGGGTTTGATGGTCCATAGGAACATTTATTGTATTTATTGGACCCCAAGGTTCTATCAGAAAAATGCTGGCTTTAACTGACCCTAAAATCAATACCCTTGATTATATTTTCTTGTTCCTGCCAGCCATCTCTCCCTCTTACCAATGCAGGGATAGTTCTCGAGATAACTTCTCCAACGTTTTGCAAAGAATTTTAGAAACATTGAATGATAGGATTGTTTCAGTATCAGACTTTTACTCATCTCGTACATGAGCAGAGCTGTTGACGATAGGACCGTATCGGTTTGTCGTATTAGACAGCACAGACCATATATGTATTGTTGATAAATGGTACATCCTCTGCTCTGGAGAAAGGCCGGTGGAAACCGGCAGCTCATTGAACTCTTAACACGGCTTCTGGCCGTCTCCATCAAATACCACAACATCTGGGCAAGGGATACACAGATGGGGACAGGTTTTCGTGATCATCCTGATGGATGGGCACCCTGCCTCAGGGGCAAATAATTTGGAGGAGAAAGTCAGAAGCGCAGAGATGGCCAGGCAGAAGGAGAGATGGCGGGCCACAAGACTTTTAACCAAAGCTAATGAGCATCTGCTTTTTCTTTTAATGGCGAACATGTGAAGAAAAGGCTGCATTCATGTCCTTCTCGGCTCCTCGTGGTGGAATTTTTTTTTTCAGAGAGTATCTCAAACCTGTGTGGATGTTAGCATGATTTGGGGAAGTAGCAGTGTTATTTCGGAGGCTGTATGGCCTGTCGGCCTCTGAGACGGGCGCCCGTAATAGCAGCATGAGAACCAGCCATGAGTGGTAGGTAGATCAAGCATAATGGTCTAACTTTTCTTGATGGGACTGCCAATCGGTCCCATCAAGTGTGTTTGTGTGTGTCCGTGTGTGTGGGGGGAATGGCTAGCTGACACTTTCACTTTTAGGACCGTTATCAGGAAATCAAAGGGAGCAAAGATTCCCTTACAGGGGCACATAACACAGAGCCTTTTTTAAAAAGGCTGGCCCTCTAGACCTAACAGCCTCCTCTCCCCAAAACACAAGACATCTGCCTCTGTTTCCCATCCTACCCCTGGACTTACAGGCTGATCTTGGAGAAGTTACATCTTTCCCCATACCGCCTGGAAAAGGATTTTGCAAGCTGC